AAAAAAATAACCTCCAATTCGTGACATTATTGTTGTTGTTGTTTGGTGCCAGTACTGGGACTTAACTCAGGGGCTTGAGCAACTGCTTAGTTTTTTGGCTTAAGGCCGGTGTTCTACCACTTGAACCACATCTTCACTTTTAGCTTTTGGCTGGTTAATTAGAGATAAGTGTTGTCTTTTGGATTTGTCTGCCTGGGTTGCCTTTGAACCAGGATTCTTAGATCTTAGCCTCCAAAGTAGCTAGGATTACCGGTGTGAGCCACTGGTGGGTGGCTCCATGACTTAAGAATTTGTTAGGATTTTTGGTATCAAAATGAATTTCTATTTTCTATAAGATGTATACTTTGATCAATAACTTAGCGAAATTGATATGTTTCCAAATGTGTCAGCTTCTATAAGAACTTGGGAGTTTTACATTCATATTTATATCACGCTTTCATTGGAAGACAACTATAGTCAAGAGAGAAGAAGGCACATAAACTAACAGATGGCCACCCAGTACAACATAAGCGTAAGCCAAAGTGGATTTATGACTTTAGTTTCTAGTCTTTTATTTTTATCACTTATTAAAAATTTGAGATTTCTCCTGCCAATGAAAATAAAAAGTTCTTGGGAAACTTTCAAGAAAACAGGATTGTTAATAATACCACAAAATGAAGTGTTTTATAATATGTTAAAGCAGAGGTTTATTAATTGTTTTTTAGAAAAAACCCATTTGGGAACTATCTTCCATTTCATCTACAGAAACAAGAGAACACTGCTGCCAGTGTGGGTTTCCATGAAAATCCCAGTGGTACCACTTATAGGTAGCTGATCTAAAATGATAGTCCCACAGTTCTGAAGGTAATGTGGCACTCAAGGCTCCACAGAAAAGGGAAGGTCACGAAACCCCCAAATCTCCAGGTGGTATCTGTGATTCTGATGGACTCTATACCTCCCTGTTCCTCCCATCCTCCCCTGGACTTTGAATGCTGCTGCTTTGGTGGCCTGGATTCCTCTCACAGCTTTGACACTTGCTGAAGAAATAAAAACACAGAACAAGAAACAGGGTTACTTCAGAGAAGTAATAACCGCTTTGCACTGGAAAACACCCAGGCAGTGACTGACCTGGGTCTGTGGAAACCAATGAGTTAGTCTTTTACATCCACAGTCTTCATGACGTATCCATTCCATGAATATAGGTGCTATTGATCAAGATGCATTGTACTCATAAACTGACATGTGGAATTGAAACCCTTTTGTACAATTATTTAAAGATAACAAAGAAAATGTAGAAGGAGCCTCCAAAATATAGGTGGTGACTTACGTTCATCATGTAAAAGGATAATTATAATTATTGATATTGTTAATATTATTATTACTGTACTGGGGATTGAACTCAGGGGAAGGCAGATACTCTACTATTTGAGCCACTCCTCCAGCCTCTTTTTGCGTTGGTTACTTTCAAGATAGGGTCTTGCTTTTTTTTAATGCTTGGACTGATTCAGGCTGTGATCTTTCTACTTGTGATCCCCCTGTGTCTCTGGAGATGACAGGCGTGCATCATGTGCTCAGCTATTGTGCTTTCCCCATAGCTGGGGACAACAGGTGTGCAACATGGCACTCAGCCATTTGGTTGAGATGGAAGCTTGCAAACATTTGTGCCTGGGCTGGCCTGGAAACTTGATTCCTCCATCTCTGCTTCCTAAGTAGCTAGGATTACGGGCTTGAGCAACTGCATTTAGCCTATGATGTAGAATTATTTTTAAAAAATATTTTAAAGAAAGGTTTGATGAAAGCGGGTCAAGCCATTATAGCAAAGCCAGAATCATAGCTCGTAGGGAACACAATCTAATTTGCTGAAGTGACCCAGACACTTGGCATAAATTGTCTTGCTAAGTAGCCTTGATTATTAGTTTGGCTTTGTGCTTCTCTACTTGTGTCAGACCATCTTTTTTTGATTTGTTTTGTTTTGGCGGTCTTGATTGAACTCAAAGCCTTGCACTTGCTAGGCAGGTGCTCTATCAATTAGGCCATACTTCTGGTCCTCTGGGACCACCTTTTTATATCACCTGCATGTAAGTACCCTTCACAGGAACCCAAAGTGTCAGTAGTGTTCTGTTTCCATAGATGAAATAGGACCAATTTTTGCTTGAGTCAGCCTGGACTGTTTGCCTCTTATTTATACATTCCTCTATAGCTAAGATGACAAGCGTCATCCCACTATCATTCCCCCCACCTTTTCAGTTGAAATGGGGTCTCTCAAACTGCTGTTTGCAGGCTGGCTCTGGCTAGGTTCTCAGCCTCTCAAGAAGCTGGGGTAACAGGTGAGTGCCAGCATGCTTAATTTCTGCCCTTTATTTATTTATTTTTTAATCCTAGTAACCAGCTCTCATTTTTTCAAGTGTTGTTGGGGGTTGTTGGGATGGACAACAATGAGCATATATGATTGATTTTTAAATGCATTGATACTGCACTAAGAAATATATTGCCAGCTGGGTGCTGGTAGCTCACATCTGGAGTGCTAGCTACTCAAGAGGCTGAGATCTGAGGATTGCAGTTCAAAGCTAACCCAAACTCTCAACTCCACAATAAAATACGCAGAAAAGGCCAAAAGTGGTGGGTGCTTTGGTTCAAGTGGTAGAGTGCTAGCCTTGAACAGAAGCTAATTTGTCAAGAAAAGAAAAGAAACAAGAACTACATTGCCATTAAGTAAAATTATATATATATTTATACAGCTGCAGTTTTATTAAACTCTATGAATAACTGCAATGTAGCTGTTGCCAAAACTAAAGTGATTCAGGTGCATGAAAAGACAGAACTATGACAATACATTTAATTCTAGAAAATAAATAAAATAAACTAGTTGCTGGGTGCTGGTGGTTTATGCCTGTAATCTCAGGAGGCTAAGATCTGAGGATAACAGTTCAAAGCCAACCCAGGCAGGAAAGTCCATCTGATTCTTACCTCAATTGACAACCTCCCCACCCCCTCAAAAACAAAAGCCAGAAGTGGTGCTATAGCTCAAGTAGTAGAGTGCTAGTCTTGAGCAAAAGAAGCTCAGGGACAGTGCCCAGGCCCTGAGTTCAAGTCCCAGATCTAGTACAAAAAGGACAAAGACTATCTATCCTATTTATGAAATTCTCTCCATCGTTTTTTTCTAGCCAGATTCATACAAAACTAGTTGGTGTTCTGGACAATTCCTGGGGGGGAAACATCAATTATTTTTCATAACTTTAAGTGTAAGGTCAAGACTGCAGTCATCAGGTTCTAAGAATTTCCAATAGAATTAAAAATCCGACCAACTGCTGGTTCCTTGATAAATAACAGTGTCTCCAATGGGTTTGTGCCAAAAGATCAATGTATTCAACTGAGTGAATGTGACCCTTAGTGCTGAGGACTTGATGTGAATCCCACAAGAGCAAGAACAAAACTACAAACGGATAACTGTTAAGTCATTTCTGCAGTAGAGCCTTCTAGTTCATGAGTTCTACTCCAGAGAAACGACAAGAATTCCATTTATCACAAGAAATCTGGGCAGATGACGCCCCAGCTGCTGCTCACCCCCAAAAATCTCGACCACTACCCCAGCACACTTGGATTCACCACTTGTGCACACACAGATGGACTCTCCAATTGTCTTGAACAGCTCCTGGCTTCAGAGCTGTTGCTTGGGCACAGCTGTGGCCTAAGAGTTAGGAGGTGGGAAAACCGGCAAGCTCAACTCCAGCTGCTGGCTGGGGGGTGGGGCTGGGGTTGGGGGTAGGGGAGAGGGTTATTTGGTCGCACAATGCACCCTTGGAAACTCAGGATCCCAACAGCATTCTCAAAACCCTTCAGAGTACAAAGTTGAACACTGAATTTGAGAATAGAAGAAAACCATTATCGTGTTGAAATGTAATACATGTTCTATAATACATTTTTTTGTTCAGAATGTGGGATGTGATGCTGTGGATGAAATTAATTTAGTTTGTTTCACCCAGAATGTTAAAAAAATTTGACATATAAAATTACAACAGAAAATATCTGAGTGTTTTATGTGGTAAGAAACAGAGGGCTATTTTGTGCAATGGGTTTTAGTACTATGTATGTAGGGTGTATGTACAAATGTTTTTCTTTCTATGAATTCTCTGTGTCTGTGTCTCAGCTCTACCTTATCTCTGTCTTTGTATCTATGTGTCTCTCTCTGTCTCTGTGAATCTGTTGGTCTGTCTGTCTCTCCCTCTCAGTGAGAACTGAACCCATGCTAGGAAAATACTCTGACTCTAAACCACCTTCCCATTCTTTACAAAGCACATATTTCAAATGAACACAGTAAGTATTCATTTTAGAACAAAGGAAAACAATTACGTTTATTTTCTCTAATTAATAATCAACTTCTCTTTTATATTCATAAACACAATTACTCAGCTTTGTACATTGTACTGATGGTATTCAAACTATTTAAAAGTAATTTTCTTTTCATTTTCCATGGGTTCCATACACAATTAACATTTGTTGACATTATTTTCTATGAATGAATTCTTATGCCTCTTGAATTTAGCTATTATAAAATAATAACAGATGCAAAGACTCCTGATTTTCAGTTTAGCATTCTCTAATGACTTATCTCCATGGCAAAGATATGACAATTCCCCTTTATGACACACCAATCTATTACAAAACTATCTTATTTGCAATGGATAAAAAATAATTCCAATTAGTCTCCAGAAACACCCACACATCCACATTTCCTCTTCCTTATTAAAACCCTTGGAAAGTTTATGGATCCTTTTCTCAAAATCCATAATGTTGTAAGCAGAGGAAAAAAAATAATTCATCAACTTAGTTGCATCTTGCTCTATGCACTTAAATGCTCCCACATTTCCCCATGACAAATGATAAGGTTTCTCATGTACATTTTATTTATCCTTTCCTTGAGGTAAATTCTAAGGTATGATACTCTAGTCCACAGCTATGCAAGTTTTTATGAAATTGTTATGGCCTTTCCATGTTCTGGTAGAAGAAGGCCTTGTACTCACTGTCTTGCTCCAGGTAAGGCCTGTGGTATGGTGTTCCTTGATGTAAGCCTGAAGCTCACTCCAAATGTTCAAATATGACTTCACCCAGTCCACGTGGCGTAAATCGCTTTGTTACCAAAGAAAATGGGAACGGAGTTAGGATCTCAATTAAAGTTTATTTGCTTATTTATTTTTGGCAGAACTGAGGTCTGAACTCAAGAACTCATGCTTGCTAGACTGGTTATCTACTACTTGAGCCACATACCCAACCCTTCTGATACTGAATGACAACATTTGACTATGGTTGGCACAACAGCTTCAGTTTTTCAGCTTTTGAGAGCACTGAGAACAGGACTTTCATCAAAGTGCCCTCAGGACACAGACAGTCTTGAAGAGTAAAGAGGCAACTGAAAACCCTGGAATGAATCTACAATTTCATCTCTAACATCGTTGTTCCTAATGGAAAAATTATGGCTGCTATTTTTTTAAATGTCACCTCTTTATTATGGTACAATTCACATTCCACGCAATTCACACATTGCAAAGGTACAATTCAACACTTTAGCTTAACAAAGTTGAACAAACCACTCTATCATTAATTTTAGAACATTTTCATCAAATTTATTTGCAGTGTCACCCCAGTTTCCCTAAATTGCTCCAGCCCTTGGCATGTGCTCACTGCCTACTTTTTGTCTATATAGAATGGACTATCCTGAATTTCATATAAATGGAATTATAGGCTGTCTACTGTGATTATTTTTGTCTCTCCCGCCACTTATTGCTGTGTTTCTAAGTTCCATGCATATTGACATGTGCTAATACTTCAGTCTTAGATCACTTTTTTGAATATTTTTATTCACTAAGTAGCTGTACAAAGCAGTTTATGAATACAGTGCGTCTTGATCAGTGTTACTCATTTCAACATTCTCACCCGTTTTGTCGATTCACTAGCTGATGATTCACTAGCTTTTGTCTATTATATAAACAATGCTGCTATGAACTCATGTATGAGCTTTTGGGTGAGCAAATGCTTTTGTTTCTTTTGGATATTTACCTAGGAGTGAAACTGCAGAATGTGGCTTTGTTCATGGCAAAAAAAAAATGGGTCATAGTTATATTTTTTAAAAATAAGTGGTAGAAGCATGGATATTCTCTGTATTGTAATTCTTTATACCATACATATGTTTTGTAAATATGCTTTATCTACTCAGTATTTGAATATGTACCAAGTTGGTCAAAGGGTTGAAACTATAGTAGGCATTTATTTGTGTCTGATCTCTCTCTATTTTTCAATACTTCGTATCAAGTTTGTCTTATATTGTTGCCATCATTGTCTACTCGTTTTTAAGAGGTGAGTTGAGGCAATAATGCAGGCAGTTCAGGTTTCAAATTTTCTTCCATCGGAATAGAAGGAAACATTGTTGACACATCCTTAGGAGCTCTTGTATTTGTCAAGGATGGTCACTTCTGATGAGGTCACGTAAGAACACAGATGGGGAACCACTCTTGAGCCCAGAGCTAATGGAAGGTGCATCATTGTTGCTGTTATTTTCCCCCAACTCTTCCCTTAGTTACCAGGCCCTAGACCTAGCACATTTATCCAGCTCTTTACAGGGTAAATAAAGCATAATCATATCACAGAGTGAGAGCAATCTCATGATACTCCTTAAATAGTTTAAGAGATACTTTCCTGGATGTCTCTTCATTCTGGCCTGTCTCCATTTGGTCCCGTTTTCCTTTCTAATCCCACGTTATCTCTGTCTAGGCTCTGTTATCTGTGCTGTAGAAGGCAAGGTCCTTTCTCAAGCAAATCATCATGGTTCAGATTCACTTGTACTTTAACAGCCCTTTGCATAGGCACTCTCCTTATCGTTCTCTCTCTGTCTACCCGAATCCCATTTCATTTTAACTGGCTTCCCTCTCACCGTCTGCTTTATTGGCCTAGCTCACCTCTGTTCTGAATTTATACTTTATTTTCTGGATTCTTTTAATGCACCAATTAATTCTCCCTTGATCAATGTGAAAGTTTGGTCTAGCCCATCACAAAGTGCTCTCATTATTACAGAGATACATAGCATAGCAACATGTATTCAAGGGGGGCAGATTATCCATTAAAAGAGAATCAAGGCAGTTTTTTTTTTTCCTTTTTTGGTTCCAATGGGAGGGCTTGAACTCAGGGGCTGAGCACTGTTCCTTAGCTTTTGCACTCAGGACTGAAGCTCCCCTAAGAATATACTCCTTCGGTCTCACCGTGTGAATGTTTAGAGCAGAGGATCACAAGGTTCTCAATAACATGCATATAATCATATAAATGATGCTTATCGAATGAACTCCAAGAAATGGAAACAAGAGGTTTTTTATATACTCGTGTGTTTTTGTTTTCCCCTTTTGTCACTGCTTTTGGTCTCTGTACCTTTTGTCTGATTTGGGGGGAGGGCAAAGGGAAGCACAGAAATGGTGGGACAAAAGGTGAATGAATTCAACAATGATACTCACTATATTGAAAATGAACTACACGACTTGTGAGGAGGGGGGTTGGCAGGGAAAAACTGGGAGAAAAATGAGGGAAGAGGTAACACTGTTCAAAAAGAAACATGCCTGACTTAGGAAACTGTAACCCCTCTGTATATCACCTTTGCAATATTTTTTTTTAAAGACTGAAGCTCTGCCCTTGGAGCCACACTTTTACTCCAGTTTCTTGGTGGTTAATTGGAGATAAGAGTCTCATGGATCTTACTCCCTGGGCTGGCTTCAAACTGCAATCCTCAGATCTCAGCCTCCTGAGCTGCTAGGATTACAGGCATGAACCACTAGTGCCTGGCTTAAGGCAGACTTTCTAAACAAATATAGATAACGGATTTTATTTCCCATTTGACTTTTCCTGCAAAGATGAGATTTTTCTTTCAAGGTAAAACAGTACACCAGTGAAAAGCCTTGGAAAGAACTCAGCAATTAAATGAAGTTTTACGTTAGCAAATGTGCAACAAGTGATCCACTGACCATACAGCTAGTGAAAGAAGGTACGTACCTGTGTTTGTAGTCCTTTAAGACCCTGTTAGTGTAAAAGGTAGCAGCATCGTTCATCTCCTTGACATAAGGGCCGGGTTTGGGGGACTGAGAAAACAGGACCATCACCCAAGCATAGAAGGGAAAAAAAGGAGAAGAAATAAAATGCTTTGAAGAAGAAGAAAATGATAAAGACATGGGGAAAAGTGGAGGTGAAGCATGGTCTGGATACGTTGGTGAAACACTCTCACACCTCAGACTAGAAAGCACTGGACTTCAATAAGGTAAGGAGAAGCGCTACATCCAGTCTAGGAGTGCATCAGATTGTGGATGACAGAGACTGAAGGTGGCCCCCAAACCCCCAATACTCTGACCGTGTGCAAGGTGAAGGGCAGCATGCATCCACACTCACCACGGCTATCCATCCTAGGGCAGGGATGCTTTCGCTGACAGCTGAAAGATGATTAAACATGTTACTCCCCCGGTTCCTCTCTCGGAAAGTCTGGATTTCCTGAATCTTCTCTGAAATGGGTTTCAGTAGTGTAGCCACCTCGTTCTGCAAGGAAACACGGAACGGTGTTATAGGAACAGACAGATGCACAGGCCCTTGGTCCCTATAGAGTACCCAGAGCTTGCCATTTGCCAGGAGTGTAAAAATAAAAATGCACAAGAGCATCCTTCAGAATAGAATGGAGTTTTTCTTTGCTATGGGAATCCAGCCAGCCCTTCATAGGTACAGGTTCTATGCCGGTGGATTTAACCCACTGTGGACCAGAAGTACCCGAAGCTCACCTTATTTATAGATTTGGTACATGTGATTTCAAAATTTCAAAAACAGAAATTTTAAATTCTTATACCTGTATCCCATAGCTCAGTGGATGCAGAGATGCTGTCAGTTGAAAGTTTTTGTGTGATCTGCTGTTTTCTTGACCTTAGTTGGGTGAGAATCTGCCTCCCAACAAACAAATGGTGCCCCCAACGCAAGGTAAAAGTAAATGTGCTTAACTGATATAATGACGTGAAACTTTAAGACTGGTTGACAGGCGGTGAGTCCTTAGTGGAGTCAGGTAGCATTATGGGAAACATGAAGCAAGCCTTCACTGAATGCTGAGCATGAGCAGAATTCCTCAGCTGTGGTCTCCTAGGGACCATATACCTGTGGATACTATGGGTCTACTTTGCAAGCTAGGAGCTAGTGGCTCATACTTATAATCCTAACAGTTCAGGAGGCTGAAATCTGAGGATTATTGTTCAAAGCCAGCCCAGGAAGGAAAATCCATGAGACCCTTATCTCCAATAAACCACCAAAAAGTGGGAAGTAGAGCTGTGGCTCAAGTGGTAGAGTGCTAGCTAGCCTTGAGCAAAAAAGCTCAGGGACAGTGGCTAGGCCCCAAGTTCAAGCCCCAACACACACACACACACACACACACACACACAAGCGCACGCACACACACACACATACACACATGCACCTACAAGCACACACATACCCAGGCACATACCCACTGCATCTGAACTGAAAATATTAGATTCTTTTCTTCTTGTCATTATTCCATAATCAGAATAGTATTATTTATATAGCCTTTATACTTTATTAGGAATATAGCCTGAACATTTATTCTTTCTAAGCTAGAGACAATTTAAAGTATACCAGAAGCGGTGTGGGGATTACAGGCAAACAAAGCCATCTTATATAATGACTTACAGCCGCTGACTGTTGGTGTCTGTGAGAAGGATTCAACCAACTTCCCTCAGATACAGAGAGCCAACTCTACTGCATTTTTATCCTCTGAATTATGAAAATTACAGATATACAAAACATCCCAGCAGTGTGGTACAACCCTTTGTTGTGAAGAAAACTGCAAGAAACACAGTGACATTGCATGTGGGTCTGTTGTATTCTCTAATGGACTACAAGGGTTATGGCTATCACAACATAGCTGTTAAGTTGGGATAAGAAGTTAGGTAAAGGATGTCTTCCTGTTCCGGTGAGAATGGAAAGGAGAGAAAATCCTCGGTTTGACAGTAGTTACCTTAATCCAAATGGAAACAAGGAACTCTTTCACAGAGGCTCTCTGAACAAGTGATAGCCTCTCAAATTTATAGTGATTTTTGTCGGGTTTAAGTTTCTACATCATCCCCACTCTGCCAGGCCTATGGCCGACTGCTACTCACGCTAATGTCTGATTAATGCCATCAGTGACTTCTCTACTTATATAAAAAAGTGACTTCCAAAATTAGGTGAGTTGAGTTATGAAATATCATAGTGATAGGTGTTCTGCTATTCAAGCAGTATTCAGATGCTTTGAGCACCTCCTTATCCATGTCCTTGGCTGTCTCTGCTTTTCTTAAGTGCTGACAGCAGATACCAAGATTGTCTATCTGATTTGTGTGTACATGCTTTAGAGAAACAGCCAACGTCCCAAACGTCAGCTTTTCAAGAGTGGCTAAAAAGCTTTAAGCAGTATTTAAGTCCTTGGTTGCAAGAAGGAAAATGGAAAAGCTCCTTATAGCTATTTTTTTCTTTATGTCTCACCTCTCCCCGCCTCTTGCTGGTCCTGGGGCTTAAACTCTGGGCCAGGGCACTGTCTCTGAGCTTCTTTTGCTCAAGGTGAGTGCTCTACCACTTGAGCCACAGCCCCACTTCTGGCTTTCTTGAGTAGTTTATTAGCGGTAAGAGGCTCACTGACTTTCTTACTTGTGCTGGCTTCGAACCACAATCCTCAGATCTCAGCCTCCTGAATAGCTAGGATTATAAGTGTGAGCCACTGGTGCCTGGCTCTTTTTTTTATTTCTTTAACCAAAACTTCAGAGCAATGGGCCAGATACCAATGGCTAACGCTTGTAATTCTAGGTACTCAGGAGGCTGAGATCTGATGGAATGAAGCTTAGAGCCAGGTTTAGCCAAAAAAAAGTCTACAAGACTCTAACTCTAAACAATAATAACAAACAAGACGAAGTGTGACTCACATGGTAGAGTGCCAGGTTAGCAAGTATAAAGCCCTGAGTTCAAGCCCCGGTACTGCCAAAAAGATATTTCAGGAGAATGGTTTCTAACATTGGCTGCATATTGGAACCACCTAAAAGCTTTAATAGACACAATTTAGTCCAGAAATTCTCTTAACTGGGAGGTGGCCTGCATAGGGATGGAAAGATTGGAAATGCTCCTTAGGTGATTATAATCAGTATATACATGGCACAGACCTGTAAGGTGTTCTAGGGACAGAAAACCATTAGGGAAGAAATGCAAAGCTTCAGTAGATTTGAGTAACTTCTAATTTTCCTTGGATGTTGTATATGTCCCTAAGGATATGTTGCATTTGAGGGCTTCACTTGATCTTGGCTTACATCTCACTATGGCTATCTAATTCTTATGGGGCCTTAAAAATCAGCTATATTTGATCCCTGGTTTCCTCAGAGATCACAACACCTACAGACTGCAAGAGATCAAGTTGTAAACTTCTGGTGCCTGGGAACTACAATAAATGGAAGTGGCTATTATTATTGCTGTCACACAATGAACTCAAAGCAGAGGCCAGCAGGATGCACTGACTGATAATATGGAGTATGCATTTGCTTTAAAAAATGGCTGAATAAGGCTGGGAGCTGGTGGCTCATGCCTGTAGTCCTAGCTACTCAGGAGGCTGAGATCTGAGGATCGCAGTTCATAGCCAGCCCAGGCAGGAAAATCCCTGAGACTCAATAAATGACCAGAAAACTAGAAGTGGCACTGTGGTTCAAGCAGTAGAGTATTGGCTTTGAGCTGAAGAGCTCAGGGACAGCACCCAGGCCCAGAGTTCAAGCCCCCCAACCAATAAAAAAAGGCTGTATATCTGGGATATATTGTATATCTGTATATCTGGGATTCAAGCATACATCGCAATAGATGCAAAGGAGGTGGGGATTACAGGAATCTAAATTGGGTCATCTAGTTCAGCTTTTGACAGACCCAATCGAGCAGGTCACATATAGTATTTACAAAATAAATAAAATGTGATAAAACAGAATAGGAAGTATCACAGGGAATTCATATGAGACAAGGGTGGCTATTTTAGGAATTATTATGCACTATGGTGTGTGTGTATGTGTGTGTGTATGGGTGTGTATTAGGCTGCAAAGTAAAGTGTATTTCTTATTATGGATCTTAATCTAAAAGTTTGAAAAAGCATGGACCTAATCTAATGCTCCCATTTTATCTGTGTGGATATAAGCTCAGTGAGGTTAATCTTATAAGATCAGCTAGCAAGATGGTGGAGTTGGAGCTAGCCCCTCGGTCTTCAGGGAGGCCTAGAGGCCTAATTCTATTCAGTATTATTGAGAACTGAGAAGAACACAATTGTCTGTTTATACACAGGCTTCTCCTCAGCCAAGAAGACTAGGAAAAGGTATTGTGAAGAGATGAAGAACTCAGGCTCTAGATGAGACTCTACATGTGCTCTGCTCCAGGACATCACACAAATGATACACTTGTCCATGAGATCATGGGATTCCATGATCTCATCAGCAAAATGGGGTTGACCATGACCCACTTCATAGGGAAGTTTGGAGTGGAATTTCAATTCATCCACAAGGAAGAAGGGGACACTCAAAAATGTTTGTTGTGGAAGCTAGCCTGTTCTTGTGGAAAGTGAATGAATACCTTTTTCTCTTCTGGAAGTCTAGCGCAAAGGTCTTACAAATAGTATACAAACTGAATTTTATGACTTCAGAACCATATGTTGAAGCCTTAACTCCCAGGAACTCAGAATGTAATTGCATAATATCTTGAGGAAGCATTGTAAAAGAGGTAATAAGTTAAAATGGGGGCCATTTGAGTAGGCTTCAAGCCAACATATTTGGACATGGATATCTGCCAGAGGGAAGGTGCTGTGAAGAAGAGAAAGGAAAGGTAACAGGAAAGACCAGCCCGTTGACACATTGGTCTTGAACTTCCAGCCTCCATCAAAGAGAGAAAAAATAAAGTACTATTGTTTATAGCACCTGGTCTGTGGCATTTTCTTATAGCAGCCTGAACAAAGTAATACTTAACTAAGGGTCTAATGGCCACTCTGGGAAAAGAAACAAATACTTTAGCCGCAAATACAACTATTCCGCCTTGGTTCATCAATGGTTGCTACGTCATTTTAAATACTTGCTTGAAATCTTACTCTTTAGAAAGCAAACTTTTTTTTTCCTCTTCAAGAGATTCCTCTCAGTCCAATCAAAAGGGTGACACTGGCTGCCATGGAAAAGCAGCTGATTCTCAATTATGGTAGAACTCCTAAAAAGCATGCTGCTTCCAGCAATTTGAAAACCGCCATAAGTTTGACGCAATGACATCTTTGAGAAAAGACAGAATGTCCTCAATTGTTGAACCACACCTGGCCCATTGCCCCCAAGGGAAAACGAACCAGAAATGTATATTTACAATGTTAGAAAGATTTATGAAGGCCATCTTTGTTTATCTCTAACTTCCCAAGAACGAAGTCTAAAGTCTGAGGAGACACAGTTATCCTGGAAGGTATTTTATATTGGTTATCTGGTGAAAGCATCATAAAGATTAGAAAAGTTCCCCCC